AGAAACCAACAGTTTTCTAGAAAGCATGTGTAACTTCATAATTAATGACAAAGAAGTGTATTAAGGGAGTTCCTCTTTACAGAATGCTAAATGATGGCAAACATCTGAAAATGTCCCAGGCGTAGGGCATATAATAAAAAGATCTAGCACAGTCGATGCTTTCTATGACCATCCCTAGGTTCACTTCTTTGACAGCCAAAATTCTCATACTCTGTTGAAAGATCTAATGGTCCACTGTTAATTAAGAGACACAAGAACTCTACCTTTATTTCCTAAAGTTCAGTCTTCAAGTTTGAAACAAATGCAAAACTAATTTGGGCTTAGTTTCCCGGTGAAGTAACATCAAGTTTAATGAATTTACTAAACCCAAACCCAAAAGGCAAAGGAAGGAAAAAGGGCTGAATTTCCATACTCACTAAAGGGATTGAGTTGGGCATATCCATGTTGACAGAGTCATTGAAAATTTAGACTAAGTGCTGCTTCACAGTACTATTACTGAATTTTCTCGAGATGGAAGGAAGGTGTTGGTAGAAGTAGGGGCTGATTCTGCCCTTTCTTTTGGGGTTGATCCCAAAGAAAGATGCTCTATTTTGGGGAAGATTAAGGGCCTGAAATAGCGCAGGGTCTCCCCCCACCCCGGCCCCATCCTCCCGATACACCCTGCCCCCTGCCCCGTAAAGGCTCCCCTCAGGGTAAGGACCAGGAAATATCCCTTTGGTCCAGCATGAAAGACTGCTTTCTTATAGAAAGTGCATGCTTTAGGAAGGAGGATCAGATTTTACCATGAGAAGTTAGTGCTTCAGGCAGTAAACCTGCCAAAGACCGTAATTACAGGGCAGAGAAATCAATCGAGATTACAAATACCCAGGAGCCTGCGAGCCCCTTCCAGGTGACCAATCTCACTCTACAGAACTTCCCACACCAACCACATACCATTTTCGGATTGCCACCAAATCTTAAGGCGGTTTGGAGCAAACGTAGTGACCACATTTTCAATGAGATGACTGTCAGGATTGAGGGTCTCATGATAAGGATCTTGTGAATTGCATATGAAGCATTTTTTGTCCTCCTGAAAGCAAAGTTAGTTTCATGAGTGTAGGAAGCAATCACACACACACACACACACCAAAAATCGAGCCCACAATACAAAAATCAAACCTGCTTGCTTCAAGAACAATGAATGTGTCCAAATTACTTACATGCCATATAATATGCCTTCCACTTTTTAACTCATGGAGTATGAATTACTCCTGAAAACTTCCTCCACTCTTGTAAATTCAAGGTCAAAAGTAAAAGAAGGCATTGTTTCCACAAGCTAGTACTTGAATCAAAATGAAATTTCTAGGCCTAAGCCTTCATCTCAATGAATAATAGCTAGAGAAGCTTACACTTAAAGTGAGATGTGGAAGAGGTATTAGAAAATTTTTGCTGACATGCTTTAAAGCAAACTGAAAAATGAAAGGAAAAAAAAAAAACCAACTCACGCAGCCTGATTTTCTAAAACCAACATAATGCAGAGGCCAAGTGTTAGGCGAATGTATTTAAGAAGCTTTGGGAAATACAGAACCAGTTTTCCGAGCCTCTGCGCTGCCCCAGCAGTGAATCAAGGGTGGCAGCTTGTAGGGAACATCTACAAACTACTCAGGATATTGGGGAAGTGGGTACCTGCCAGGGTGAACCCACTATAAACAGACCAACTCACACAAGGCCAACATGCACTAAGACGGGCACCCACAGAGGTCCACATACACCTCACGAACAACATTTAAGCAGGGGTGATACTGTGAGGAGGACAATACCCACGGACTGGACTCTTATGTTTGTATTTAGTTAGCTATTAGTTATCACCTTCCTCCCCAAAGGATTTAGGGACTAGTGAGATGTACTAAGACAAAGAGAGGGAACAGAAGTCAGGAATGCAATGGGACCAAATACTGGACAAAATACTTAAGATTCCTGCCTCAGTTTTCAGACCCATTAAAGGCTTGAGAAAAGTGCACACCCAGGCCCTTTCTCTCGGCTCTGGTATCTACAGAGAGCACGCCACGCTTTCACGGCTAATCACGTAAACCAGAGAGTTTAGCTCTGGCTGGCCTGTAAGACAAACAGTTCAATTCTCATTCTGGTCAAAGCCGGTCTCAGAATCTGGTGACTCATTTACAGGATGTCCTCGCCTCTGAGGTGAATGTTAACATAATATTTTAGGTAAAATTTACATGCTAATATTAGAAAAAGTAACATCAACAGCCTTCATTAACTTGTAGTCAAGAAAACTAATACTGGAGAACAATTACCAGAACTTAAAAAAAAAAAAGGTTAATTATAGCCACTCTTCTAATCAGGAGGAAACAGTCTAGACATCTCTGTATAAACCTGGAAGCAAATGAGCGGAATCCACTTGACCACATTCCTCTGGTTTAATTTATCAGGTCTACAGAATGGGCTCCCTTTCTGCTTTGGAAAAGTGACTCCATTTTAAGGCATCTGTGGTGCAAACCGTAGGACATCATCCTTTTCCCAAAGGGCAGGTGTACAGGTAGGCGGATGGGCCAAAATTATAGCAATTGCCTCTGGCCCTTGCCCTGCATGTGAGACTAGCCCGCCTTTGGCTTGCTTTCGAGGCCAGAAATATCCGCATACTTAAAAAAAAAAAAAAAAATCAAGGAAAAGGCTTCTGATTCTAGGTAGCTTATGCTTTGTCTTCTTTTAAAATTAGTTTGGACTTTTTAAAAATAGGACTTTTGAAATCTAAGATCTAGGCCTACTTTTAGAAAGGACACCCTGAAATTTCATTTTGGTCCTCCTCTACCAGGGTGCCATGGCAACCAGGGCATTTGAAAAAGTACCTACTGGAGGATAGATGGGAACAGCACCACACCAGAAAATATTAGGTTCAGTGGCTAGAGTGACCTCACAAGACATCTGTCAGTGCTACAATACCCCTCCCGCAAGCGCAAGACTTAGGAAAAACCCATGATCGCTACTCAGTCTAAGAAAGAGATGATGGACTATCTCTTATGCACATTTCCAAGGAGGACAGATCACAAAACAACAGTGGAGACTTCTGGAGGCCTGGGGTCAGGATCCCGGGCAGGGGCCAGGTCCCGGCGGTCCTGACTTTCCATAGGGACTATGCGGGCGGTGGAGGCGGCAGGAAATGTATGGCGGATGCAACTGTGCAAACGGAGATGGAGCAAAAAAGGGCGAGCAACCCATCTAATCCCGGGACTCCCCGACTGGCCGCGCTTCCTATCTGGATAGCTGGCAGGATGTGGAGTCCCCAGCGCCCGGCCCCTCTGGTCTGGACTGGAGGAGGCGCGCGCGCGCAAAGCCTAGGGCTGGGATCTCTGCCCTCACCTGGAGGTGGCTGACAATACAGTAGGGCTCAGGCTTGTGCAGCCCGCACGTCGAGGTCACCGAGAGCTTTTGTGCTCGGCCGATGAGAAGGTCGCCAGTGGCGGGGTAGCAGCTGCCCTCCGCGCAGCCGTAGCTGAATTCGGGTTCTTGAGCGCGCACTTGGGCTCCGCACAGGGCTGTGGAAAGGGCAGGCGACAGGGGAGGTGGGGAGGAGGGCACAAGCCAGGGGCGAGCCCAAGCGAAACGAACAAGCAGGGGCGGGAAGAGTAGGTTCAGAAGAAAGCAGAATGCACAGAATAGAGGCACAATGGAAAGATGAGTGCGTGAGAGGCCAGGACGTGGAGAGGGTTCGGAAAGAGACACGATGTCAAATTTGTCCAGCAGCCCAGCTCATTCCCGGGAGACCCTCATCTGTCCCGGGCAAGCAGCTCTGGTCACAAAAGGTAGATGTGCAGACCAGCCACCTTGACGTGCCTGTGCCTGGACCTGTGTGCGGGGAGGCGACAGGCGAACCGCCTCTGTGCACGCGAGTAGGCGAGTGAGTGTATGCACCTCGTGCGTGCGGCAGCCTGTGCACCCTCAGTGTGAAACCGTGAGTGTGCGTGCCAGATCTGTGAGTGTGAGGTCACGGATGTGTGTGCGTGCACGCTTGGGGGTCCCGGGCGCTCGGTTGGGGGCGAGGTGGTGGGACTTGCAGGGGACGCCGCTTTCCCGAGCAAGGGGTGAGTGAACAGTCCCTGTGGCTTTGGAGTGGCTTCAACGAACGCTTCGTCATTCCAGGGAAGCACCCGGCCCAGCTGTTTCTGGCGCCATCCGGGGGCAAACAGCGATGGTTAATTGAAGCCACATGGCCCCAGTCAGTTCCCAGGACTAAGCCTGTGCTCAGCTTCGGCACTTGGCTGGGAAAAGGGCTCCAGGGGAGCCCCCCGAGGCGAGCCCCCCAACCCATCCCAGGCAGCCTGCCCCCCGCCCCCCGCAGTGGAGAGACCCACGGTGAACACGCCAAAGGTGCAAAGCCCGAGCAGGGGCCGCGGATCCCCAGTTCTGGGCACCCAGCCTCGGGGATGCGGGTCCGCGGCGATCCTCGCGCGCAGTCCTCAGCCGCCACGGAGGGCGCTGGCGTTTAATCCCGGGGCGCGATTCCCATCCCAGCCCCTCTCCCGCCCCCCCGCCCTCAGGCTCCCGCGAAGCCGGGTCCAACGGCTTGTGGGGTTTCTTCCCAAGCCCACTCCTCTCCCCACCGCCGCGGCGCAATTACCTAAGAAACTGAAAGCGAACACCTGGAGCAGCCCCATGGCCAGTCCCTGCACAGCCGAGGGGACACGGCGGAGGAGGGGAGAACGCACCCGCCGAGCCGCCTGCCCGCTTTCCCCGTCTTCCCTTCTGGAGAGGTGGAGGAAAGAAACACAAAAAGAGAGATCAACTGTTCAGAGAGAGGAGAGGGGCCCTTCCATTTCCTGCCGCTCCCACGGAAGCGGGGGGTCGGAGGGGAAAAAGCGCTCAGCCACTATGTCCTCCTGCCCGGGCGGTGCGAGCGCTCTCCCCGCAGCCCCGAGCCCAAAGAAGGGAATTAGAAAGTTTAGCCTTGGGAGGAACCGGGGGAGGCGCCTCCGCTCATGCGCACACGCGGAGCAGGGGCTGAGGGGGCGGGCGGCCACCGCCGGGGGGAGGGGGTGAGGTCCGGGTCCCACCCTCCCGGGGCGCCTCTTTTGTTTTAAGGCCGCGCCTGCGGTGGCCGCGGGCGCCAGGCTCTCCTGGTCTCCGGCGGGGCCACCCCGGGGTGCGCATCGCCTGCCGGAGCGCGGGGGGGCGGGAGGCGTCTGGGCTGGTGGCGGAGGTAGGTGTCGGGATCGCGGCGAGAGACACCCCCACCCCCTCCCCGGCGGGACCTACCGCGCACTCGGGCGTTTACATTTGCAAGGGGTGAGTCACGAAAGGGTACCCGGGGCCACAAACTCCCGCCCCGAGCGCCCGGGAAAGGCGGGTTAACCCTTTAGAAAGAGGGTCGACCTGTCAGGTTTGTTGCCTTACAAAGAAGGGAATCCGGGATCGCGAAGCTTGGGCTGGACGCGACGTCTCTAATGTCACCACGCGAGGCGACGAAACTGCTATTCCCTAGGCTTCCTTTGCGCGCACATTTATTCTGGACCTGCCACCCAGGTGGCCACGGCATCGAATTGCCCGTTTAATTCTGTTTTAAAAAATCTACTTACCTAAATCCAGACGATGGCTCTAATTAAGGTCGTTTCTCCAACGACACTATTGCTGGTGAAGCGTGTTTCCCATCTCACCGTGACAGGGTTGATTCAACCACGAATGAGACCCCCTTCAGGGTCTCCACAAAGCGCCACCTGGGCAATTGCAGAGAGGGACTCTATGGGGAGAGAGGGCTTCTAATGGCCTTGTGTGCGACCTGTCTGGTTGAATAAGGGGTAAACAGAGCTCGCCCACGTCCTGGGGGCTGGGGAGGGGGGCGGGAAGAGAGGCAGGCGGCGGGACTGCCGCCCTTCCAGTGAACTGGCCCAATTCTGCTGCCTTAGCAGTGGATGGATGGAGTCAAAGCTGGGGTTTGCGCAAAAGTGCCCTGAATAAGGGGAGTACAGTTAGTTGGTAGTCCCTGCAGGAGATTTTGCTTGCTTTTAATTACCCCAGGGAGAAGGGTTTAGTTGGTCAGCTTTTAACTTAGCTGCAATGAAACAGGACCCAGGGAAAGTTTAATCATTAGACCACAAAGTAAAGCTGCTTTATGGGTTTATAAACCTCCTTTCTGCTGAGGAAGGCAGGAGCCTCAGGTCTTGGTGATGCATTAATTATTCACTAAATCAGCACTTGCCCTGTTGCAGCCTCTGGAGATTTTTTTTTGCCTCCAGCTAACGTCCAGGGTCCTTGGTGCTGGCTGGGCAGCCCTGAAAACACAAGAGAAAGCGGGTGCTGTTGTGAGGGTTTAATTTTGCAACGGAGGGTCTTCAGAGCTTAATTAAAAAACATTCAGAGGCAAACGCTTTTCCCCTTGTGGAGCTCTTAATACCCTGGGTCAAAGTTGCTTATTAGTTTTTTATCCGTCCGTACTGCAAGCATCATTCACTTCTGCCTCTTTCACAAGACCTCCCTGCCACTCAGTGGTGATCATTTTCCCTGGTCAGTGTCTTCTCATAGATTGCAAAGAGTTACCTACAGCCCTGAGGCTCTCACCTCATTCTCAGGAGTAAACATTACTGAGACAGTTAAGAGATTTGTTGAGTGGTTTGTTTGGGTTTTTTTTTTTTCTTTTGTTTTTTTTTTTTTTTTAACACGTATGTGCAGGGGCTAGTGTATATAACACATCTTCACCATCTGACCACTCCATTGCTGAATTTGTCTCCATTCCCTGTCCTGGAATGTACTTTTGTCCTGGAAGCAAGTGTTCTCCTCTGACCGGCTAAGTACAATGCTCTCACATGCAAACCTGCCCCATTTCCCCATCTTAAGAAAACCAAAACCCTTCTTTATGCTATATACTCTCTACTCCTTTATTCCGTTTGACTTCTTAGCCCAGGTGCTTGAAAGGATAGTTCGCACTTGTGTTTCCAATCGGTTTCTCCTTCATCCCATTATAACAGAACTCCCATCTCCGCCACTGGTCTCAGTGATGACTGCTGGCCCTCCAACTGCCAAGTGCAATGGCCGTTTTCCCTAGTGGAACGCTCTGTGGTCTATCTCCCATGACCACGCCCTTCTTTTATTTTTTATTTTTATTTTTTAACATTTATTATTGAGAGACAGAGAGAGACAGAGCATGAGCAGGGGAGGGGCCGAGAGACAGGGAGACACAGAATCTGAGCTGTCAGCACAGAGCCTGACGCGGGGCTCGAACTCACAAACCGCGAGATCATGACCTGAGCCGAAGTCGGACGCTTAACTGACTGAGCCACCCAGGCGCCCCGACCACAGCCTTCTTGAGACTTTTCTTCCTTGACTTCCAGGACACCATTCCAAAATTTCCCCATAGGACTGACTCCCTCTCTCCCATTTCTCTTTCCTCTCTCTTTCCCTTAAACATAGGGTGCCCCCAAAGGTTTTGTCTCCAGCTTCTCTTCCTTCTATAACCATTCTCATCGGTGACCAGCCTCTCCACCACCTTCACCTTGGTCCTCCCTACATCTGTAACTCTAGCTTCTACCTTGTTTGGAATTTACATCCAGTTTCTAACAGCCTATTGAAAGCTCTACTTTGATGGCCCAGAAGTACGTGTGCTGCAAAACCTAAGTCACCTCCCCACCCATCCCTCCTAGAACAAAATGTGTTCTTCTGTTTCTAATTTCGGTTATTGGCCCCATGATTCACCTCTGAGCTCAAGACGAGCCTGGGAACAAGACTGGCTATATGATTTGCAGGGCCCAGTGAAAAAGGAAAAAGAGCACGGGGACCCTTTGTTCAAAAATTAATGATTTCAAGATGGTGACAGAGCAGTAAACCTAGCCCGGGACCCTTCAGAGACTGTGCACATCCTCCTTAAATCCTGCCCAGCTTGGGACTCATATTGGACATTTCCATCTCCTTACCTCTTCCTATCACTAGCTCCTGTCATTTCTATCTTACCAGCAACCAGCCACCACGTTCCCTTTGCTCCAACCTCATCACCCTGCCTTAGTTCAGTCTGCCCTCGCGTCTGGTCTGAACCCTGCAGGAGCCTCCCTGGCTGCCGTTTTGATTCCAAACTCTCCCTTTCCGCTGGTCTAATCCTCCCTAACATCACCAGAGGGATTTCTGAGGCACCCCTTTGATCATGTCGTTCCCTTGTTCAAAAGCCTTCAATGGCTTCCCTCTGCCCATGTGAGCTTCCTGAAGTTCCCAACACAGGGCATGCTTTATACTGTGCCTCTCTGTCCCATGGACCCTCCTTGAGCTCACCAGTGTAGTGAACTACCACGCATCTTTGAAGCATCCACTTAAATAGACTTCGTCTCTACCCCCTTTCCACCCCCCAACTCTGTCCACCAGCACCTTGTAAAAGCCTGTTCTGGCGTAAATGACATAACGCTGTAACTATTTGTTTATGCCCTTATCTCCACTAGACAGTGAGTCCAGGCCAAATATTGCGTAACACCGATTGATGCACAAACGTTGCCTAATAGGACATGGGCACGTTGTAGGTGCTCAATAAATGTTTCTTGAGTGGAAGTAAATAAAGACTGGACTCTAGGTTCTAAAAACTTCTTTAAATCTTAAACGTCCACTTTCTACCCAACACGAGTTTCTAGTCAAGTAGCAAAAGAAATATCACCAGACTGGAGTTCATTTTAGGAACACTTCCAAATTTTGCTCATGAACCAATTCTTCCTCTCTGATGTTACAAATGTAGGAGGCATGAATCACTCTTGCTAGTAAAGCTCATTGAGGCTTTACTCCTGCTGACACCACCCCTACCCTCTTATTCATTCCACACATGTACCCCCCCCCCCCCCAGCACTACCTGCTTCAGCACAAGGCAGTCTTTTACTGGAAAGTTCTGCAGCATCTTGAATAGCAGATGCGACTGCAAATTGTTGGCCGTTCAGTCTCAAAGAATGTGCAACAGTTGTCTCCCCGAGGCCTTGATTATTTGCTTGGAAAAACAAAGCAAAAACTGCTTTCAAGGTTACCGTCACAGGCTTAAAATGCCATTTATGGGTCTCGTTTTAAGTCCTGGATTGACAGCGTAACGACAAGGAGGTCACATTCTGGCCTTTGACCTTTAGGTTCTAAAACCTGGCTGTCTACCTAACTCTGCTCTCATGAAAAATACTAGATTTGGGCTGTTTTGAAAATTAGATTGAAGGGTACTTTGTGAGAATCAGAAATGAGCTCAAGAAGTTCCATGACCAGGAAAATTTAGAACAAATGTCACGTGGCACTTTCTCCATCTAATACCTCTCATAATATGCGGGACAGTAATTTGTAATGTTGCATCAAATGCCCTTGCCCTCAGGGGCTCTCTGAGGGCAGGCACTGTGTTTTATTGAAATTCATATTCTCATCCAAGGGCAGAGTTTTCGGTGTACACAGAGTCACTCAGTATCTGCTTGTTGGATGAGTGATTAAAACTGAATAACCCTTCCTTATGACCATTAAGGGAGCCCATAGGAATACCATCACCTTCTAGAATATGGAAGGCCTGAATCAGGCAGGGCGTCACAGCATTTTCAGTCTCGGACTATACAATAGAAGCTGCTATTTGGGCTTGTATTAACATCCCTTTGTCTGGGAACAGTCCCCAGACTCTCTTGGGGGGGACTAGCCCTTTGACGTTGTCAGCCCAACAGAATTTGGATGGGGCTAATCCCTCCATGGGCTCCAGGCTAATCAGTACCCCTCTCTCTTCTTCTTCCCAGTGTTTGGTTCGGGGATGGGTATACAACTCAAGTTTTCCAGTGAGGGGACTTCTGGGATTTTTGTGGGAAAGAAAAAGCACTCTCTCCCTGGACTTGAAGTTATATGGATGGAGCTGGTGGCAGCTGGAGACTGGGGCTGACCACAGGGAAGAGCAGAACTGGGGGAAGCAATAGGGAAGATCCTTAAGTACCACCTTAGAATATCTTGATCCAGCTATGCCTAAAGCCAGCGGACATTCCCCGAGCCAATACATTTTTCTGGACATGTAGCATCAGACTTACGAAGCTTTGTTGTTTGTAGCCTGAGATCTGGGACGTTTTTGTTTTCAATTGCAACATGACCTACTTTATCACGATCCAAGCAGACCCTTATCAATACGATCTTAAAAACAGCCATCTGTCTATTCTTAAAGAGCTCAGAAGAAAGGTCACAAATGAGTACCCAAGTCTATATTTGAATGTTTTAAGGTAGTCACTAAAAATAGGT